TAATCCATTGCCTCTTTTTTGAAATGTATATTCTACAGCCCATTACACTAAAATGTACATCTTTTTTTAGAATCTTTTGCAACAGATCTTGAGCTATTTGCAAAGTAAGTCAATTTCAGCTGTCATCAGTCTAGAGTACTTTCAGTTGTTTAAAAATAAAATAAATTGACCCATTAAAATGTTAATCTTTGATCCACTTTTTCCCCTTAGACATGCAAAGCGAACTCAAATCAACTGTGATGATGTGCAGCTACTCGCTAGAAAAAGTTCAACTCTGGCAAGTTTACGAATTTATATTATATTTCATTGAGTTAAGAATAATGTCCATTGTTAAAGTTACCGAGCTTTCACTTCATCCTGTTTCATGTTACTATTACAACTCCTTTTAGGCTGCGCACATTGAGGACATGAGCAAAGAAATGGCCAAAGCACATGAAGCTGACAAGGCAAACAGGAAGACCAAAAAGGCAAAGAAGAGTAAACCAGCCCAGGAAAGTGCGGCCCCAATTGAAATTGAAGATGAAAGTTGATTTGACAGTGAACTGTCCTTTTAAAATTTGTGGCATCAAGTTTTTTTGTAAATATTGACGGAATGAAATACTGAGATCATTGTTGAATTTGAGCAATAATATATTAAGGATGGTGCTTATTAAACATCAAAGGTCTTGGCCCAAATAAGGAATACATGTACACTACTACAACATTATACTTTTTAATTTTTGAACAGCTCGACCAGGCTACTTGAGATTTATGAAACTGAAGAATAATTTATATCATAGACACCCCAAGTAGTACTACATGAAGAATATTTTAGTTGTCACTCGATTAAGCCAAGGTACATCTACATCTACATCTACATCTACATTATGGGGGTCTTGCAAAGGGAGGCATGCTCCCAAGGTAGAACATATACTTTGTTTGCTGACAACTGAACTTTTCACAGAACCATAAGATGGGATTGGTCAAGGTTTTCAGTTCAGTACATGGGATCAAGTGAAGGTTTCGCCCTCCAAATACTTCCTGGTGTTTCCAAAATCTCACACAGTTAAAGTGATGCCTTGTTAAAAGAAACAACAAGTATTAAACATGTTTAAAATTTTATTTTTGACATTTTTTGGTAATATTTTACAACACAGCACTTTGTGCAACGGACAATATTTACATGACAAGCTGACTGCTGTTATACTTATACTTTGCTTGTAAATAGAATGAATGGAGGAAGCAATCTGCGATGAAATGATCAAAACACACGTTACTCTGCACTCAAACACGCAAGGGTAACCAGAAAAAAATAGTTCATGTACAAAAATATGAAACACGAATTTACATACCTTAGACTTTGAAAGATATTGAATAGAGAAAGAATCTTCGTTCTTACACAAAGATATCAAACGCTTTGGGCAAAGACAATTCATGAAGGCAAGAACTATTGAGATTGTCAGACCTGTAGATATCATATAACAAGTAAACCAATACAAAACCATTTAAAAACATCTAATACAAGTTTTTGAACTTTAAAAACAAGGAAATGAAACAAATACCGGAGAGAAATGTTCTAATAACGTATCTATTGTTTTGGAAATCTCATCGAATAACGCTAAATGTACTGGTTTGTGGCAGATTTTAATAGTTCAAAGCACACATAAGAGCCACGCCCCTCTTGATCCAATGCCTCTGTGGCTGACTGCTGGGTAACTCGACTGGAAGAACGAAGTTTGTGGAGTGACCTGTTGTAGACAGGGTACCTGCAAAATTAAAGAAGGAGGAACTGAGTTTAGTAAAAAATAAATAACTAAAAAAGCGCCATTTGGTACGACTTGCACGCTCTTTCATTGGCTTTTGTACTTGAATAGAAACTAGATACCATCACCAATACCGACAACAACAAGAACAAGAGCAAAAACAGCAGCTAGGCAAAGAAGATACAGTGCACTAAACCACAGTTTACCGAACTCGCTTAGATCCGAAATTGCGTTCGTGATATCTGATGTTCGTTATTGGCGTAATTTGGAAGTGACGACCATTCCGTGCCATCATCAAATGTTCTATATTCCTGAGGTCTCTTCCATTTCCAAACGCAAACTTTTCAGTAGGATCAATTCAACTGTCTACTGCTAAGACTAAATAACGATCGTTACGATTGGTCCAGGTAGATATCTCGGCCTTATGTGTAGTTAGATGTCTGCAGGAAGCGCGAACCAGGAGGGAATTTTGAGATTAATTGTTAAATAGTGTAAAGTACATTACATCCGAGTGAATAAAAAAAAAAAACAATCGTCTTTTGGGATCTCGTTAGTCACGAAAAAGAACGTCCAGTTAATGTCTTTAAAAATGGTGGAGGAAACAAAAAGTTTGTTCCTTTCACGTGGTTGTTCATTACATGCCAGTTTGCTATTTATATCTACGTTATTTTAGCATACCAGCTCTGGTCAACGTTTTGTAGACTGGACAATCATAGATGCCCTTGTCGGGTTTCTCTCGGTTCGCTGTCGGTTTCAACCAGATAATCGGCATGTCCGTGTACAGCTCTTTCGGTCGGGACTCGGTCAGTTCGTGCTTGTCGTAATCCCATCGGGCACCTTCGAGGAAAAGACCCCGGATGAAACAGCCGTTGCTCGGACGAGCGGTCAGGTCTGCTTCGGTTTTCTTCATCACCTTTCCAAAACAATGGTACGTAAACTCCGTCATGATAAAGTTATTTGTAGCCTGTGTAGGAGGCTAGTAGCTAGCCGTTTCGGTGGGGTTTTTAGGTTGGGTTACGTGTCGCGGAAAGAGCGGCGAAACCGCGAGAAGAATGGTGAGAAGACAAAGAACGAGAAATGGTTCCCCGCTCTTTCTCTTCTCGCCATTATTTTCGCGGCTTCGCTGTCGCCCCTCATTCCGTGACAAGAACTCCACGGAAAACCGCCAGCTACACAGACTGAGTTATTTGCAAAACAACAACAACAACAACAACAACAACAGCAACAACAAAAACTAACAAAACTAACAAACAAACAAGAAAAAAGAGAATCTTCACAAGTCCTGATCGCCTGAAGATTTGTTACCTCAAAGTCAAACGTGATAACATCGATGGATATCGACGAGGATCTCGCAAAGTTCTGAAGTGTTCCGGTCAAAAATCCTTGAGGAAAGAAGAACCCTGATATCCAGAAAACCTGCCAAAGAAACAAAGCTATTATTATGGGAAAGCAAACATAAGAAAAAAATTGTTTTGAAATAAAATCAGTTTGAACTTACTGGGGGTATTCCATGTTCTATCCACTTTTCAATGAACTGAACTCGAGCTACCAGATCAGTGACCCACGACGCCAGCGGTTTTAGTGAGGGGTAGGCCTACACACGAATGAATCATTAGAATAACACAGTAACTTATATCACAAAACAGGTCTTGTTTGTTAACAGATTCTTTGAGCAGTTGACTAAATATCTAATACTCTTAAGCATGTAATTAGTGACTTAGACTGTTTTATTGATTTACGTATGTAACATTGCAAAATCTCTTCCATATCTGAAATGTCTCCACCACTCACTGATTTGCGATCAGGCGTTCTTTTCTTTTGGGCGAAGGTTACCGGCAATCCACCAGCAAAATCTCTATGCAGTAGATAAAGTACGAACAAAACAAACTACGCTATTTGCCGGATAGCTAAACAGATAATGTTATCCACAGTTTGAACAACAGCGGCCAGACGTATAGTCATCCATATGAAAAAAAATTCGGAAGACTTTGTTTGCTCAAATTGGATTTTTTTTGTGAGGAAAAGGAAGAAAAAAGTAAGCGAACTGCTTTTTGCTGAAAGACCAGAGATTCACATTTCAATAGCTTTTTGTTATATTGGAATCGTGCATTCAGATAGATAGCGTCCTAACTGATTCATATTGCCTTAAACGTTTCTGCATGCTACAAAGACAGAATTATTTTAACAGTACCGAGATAAGAGTGTTTTCATACCTTACTGGCCCACAGTTCAGGTACAGAGTTATTATAGAGACTGTTAGCCATTGTCTCAAGAGCCTGTGACATCACAACTAGACCCTTGAGCGCCTTCAGCAGGTCGTTCAGTGTTTGTCTGACAGTCACTAGTAATTTGTTGTATCGGATCACTTCCTGGATTAACACTGTATTCATCGACTCTTCGTATCGCACAGGGTGTTTCTCCATTACCATAGAAACGGAAATGGGTTGAGGGACACGTTCAAGAATGCTGCGGCCAGCCTCTTCCATCACCTAGAGAGAGAAATAGTCGTCTAGAGAGATGCAAATGTGCACAAAAAATAGGGCGAACGGGGCAGAAGGGACAAACTATGTATTATCTCTTATCAAAAAGAGACTTTATGTGTATTGCAAGCAAAACCATAGGACTGAAATAAAAAAAATTATTGACACTGAAAGTGCCAAGAACAATCACTAAGTTCGCACTTAGTCACATAATGGCATAACGACACAATCGCTATGTCGGTAATGTGAACATCGACATAAAGACATAAAGAAAAGATCAGTTGTTTTTCCTCGTGTCGTTATTTTCATGCTGTTCTGTTGCTATATTATGTCTCTATGTCAGGATGTTCACATTGCAGACATAACGACATAACGTTTTTCTCTTATACCGTAATGGTTATGTTTATGTCGTTATGTCGCTAGTGTGAACTACGCTTAAGTTCTATTCAGTTGACTCACCTCCTCACGTGACCTTCCTGCGCCTGAAGATGAGCGCGGCTGCATCTTGAGTATTCCTTGTAGCAAACTGAACGTCTCGTTCTGAGCAAAGGTAATGTTGGCGTTGTCGTGAAGAGCAAATATCTCCGGAGTATCGTTGATCGGCAGACCACGAATGTAACGAAGATAATGCTGGGATAATAACGTACATCGTTAATGACAATAAGCTTTCAGGGTAAGGTTTGCGCTAACGTAACGATTGTGTCGAGATTTCTTCGGCACTGCAAATTTCTACCTTCAAATGTTTACAAAAATAAACAACATAACTCAAAATGCAGGTCAGTAAACAAAGGTATAACAGTATCCACAGACTGAAAACATTTCGATGACGCTACTAGAAATACAAAACATCTCAAAATGTTTCGTTCCTTCAAAAGCGTTAATGAAAATTTGCTGCTCAGTCGAAGAGGGAAAAAGATCTTGACATTCATACGAACTGGAAGAAATACCGTGTCTGCACATATTCAGACGTTTCCCTGGATCACCTTTGCAACTTGAACGAAACGAAAGGTAGAAGGTAAACTTAATTTTAATTTCAGGTTGGTGATGACTTTGGTTTATCATCAACTTCAACCGCTCGTTACACTGGGTTTAAGCTGTTGCCGTTTTGAGTATCAGCTGTACCCTTAACTGAGAGCTATATTTATCTCGCCAATATTTCGGCTGCGGTCTTTTCCGCTTCTCGTTTGACGGTCAAACTAGAGTACCTTAACACCATACCTCGTGATCAGATGTTAGAGGAAGCTGGTGATAAATTCCTGACTCAGAGAACCTATGTTCACCGCTGAGCACGTCTTCTGAGTAGTAATCATTCAAGATGTTCATTATACACCGCCGATCCCAGTCATCTGTCACTCGCCCGCCGTAATTGATGTGTCCAGCGGTATACTTCAAAACCTAGAACAAAGCACAGCAATCGAAGCACAGTTAGTTCAGTCCCTAATATCGTAACCAGGTCCCACTCTTTAATCTCTTACCCAGGTCTCACTCTGTTGAGCACTGTGACGTGGGAGATCTGTGTTCGGAATCCGTAGTTGCGTACACACGTAGCAAGCTTCAATTTGATTAACAGATTAGTTATGTGCGAGAGAGAACTTGTCATTTTGTGGAACGTGAGTGTAAGGTAGAGTGTATTCAGAGATTGTTACCGATTAGATTGTTCGATTTTTCGAGATCGGGTTCTTGGGATTGTGAAAATCTACAAGAAGAAAATAAAAGGTTGGAAATACAGCCCTCAGATGGTGCGGATTTCAAAAATCTGGGTTCGAGACTTCTCATTCCCAAGAAGTGAATTTGCATGTGCGAGGAAAGCGACAAGTGACATAATTGCCGGTTCGGTTACCTTGTTGGTTTGATTTCAAAAGCCAACAATGTTCGCTTGAAGTTTGACTGAAATTCTCATGCAGCGAAAGAAAGGTGAGAGAATGATTTACCTTGAAAGGAACTCCTTCGTATTCCTCTAAGAACATGCTCAACTGACTGATACAGATCCTCAAGTCTCCAGTTGTGAACTCGTATGGTATGTTAAAACCCAGCGCTCCAAATTTCCTTCTCTCCAGCGTCACACCGTGGAAAAGACACAACGAGAAGAGAAGGTACTTGAACTCTTCCTGGATAACGTAAAATAACACCAAATAAACTAAGCAACACTGAATAGATGCGCGACGTGGTTTAATTTTGCCTGCACAAGACTTGTAGATTAGAAGACGTCCAGGTTACAAGGTTGTGAACACCAATACATAACTACACCACATTAAAATCTACAAGATAAACTGCAGTAATNTTGTACAGGTCAGCGGCAGGATCAGTTCCAACAGACAATACAAAGATTAGTGGAGTGCTGGGCGAGGAGTCTTTGAACACAAGAGACAAGTCTGCAGTCTGAAAAATGGAAAAAACAGGTAAAAAAAAGCTTTAATCTAAGATTTCAAGTAGGAGAAAAGAAAATGGGAAATATAAATCGGTTATAAGTCGAAATAATAAAGCACTGTCTTGTGTTACTGTTTCGCTGTTACTGTTCTGTGATAGTGTTTTGCTACTGTCTCTAGCAGTAGAAAAACTCTTACAAATAATTCTCTGCAAATGGCTTATTTAAAACAATACTGACTGGTGGGTAACACTTACCTGTGGCTCAATGAACCTCTGTCCAAGATTTTCAGACACAAAGTCCTATAAAAAAGGAAAGAATCAGTTAGTGTCATATAAAGACACAAATCTTGTATTAGGAATACCGCCTAGGCCTCCTGTTAAATGTCGTACCTGCATTGCATTGGTAACTTTGTCAGCTCGTAAGCACTTGAGCACTAAAAGCTTCTGGAAGGAATCCAGGTCTGTATTCCATGGCTCAGGCAACGGCTCACTTAGTAAAATAAAGAAAAAGATTGGAACTAATCGCCGTATAAACACAGCTATATAGCGATATAGCTTCTGTAAAACGTTTTTCTGTTATTTGTTATAGATACACAGTAGCGTTAAATTCCATTTCATTGACAAGGATGAAGGGTGACTATACAGCCAAATTTACGGGTCTCTAGAAGGTAAGATTTTTACACGTCAACATAGTTTAACCACTGAAGAACTCGACACAGTTCCAGGATAACTCAAGGAAACCCTGTTTTGTTGTACAGCTTCACGCATATTTTCAGTGTAAACTAACAATGAAATCATAATGACGATAGTTGATATAATTTACCGGTGAGGGTCAACGCTGTCAAACATTCTTTGATATCCTTCTATGTGGTTCTTAAAGTCCTCTGCAAAGCTTGCAAACTTAGGCTGAGGGGGAACAAAGATATGAGACGTCAGATGGAGAAATACATTACACCAAAATCGTCAACTGCAGAGTGGTTTCTTATTTAGTGACATAGTTGCCACCGATATCACTTTTCGAAAATCCCTGACTATTATTCCCTGACTTTTACCTGACCAAAAAAGAATTTCCCTAACCAAATAAAAGCAAAATTTCAGATATAGAAGGGGCCTTTAGCCTCTCCTAACAGTCGTTCTTTCCAACCATTCATTAAGAAAAGTAAGTTTTCCACAAATTTTCGTTCCTCATTAAGGAAAAACGTCGTTGAGATCACAGTGACCCCAAATGCTTCTTCCAACCCTCAATGGTATTAAATAGCCGTGATAAATAATTTCAATTTTCCCTGAATCTATATAAAATTATAGTGTACGTCGGAAGCCAATTACAAACACTTGGTTGTCGAGTAAACCAAAACAGTGATCAAACTAGAACGCCCATTTTGTCGTATATTATAAATCAAGCACCGTTGGACTCACAAGAATTGGAAGTCGAAGTATCTCGGACCAGGCCCTGTCGGACAGCCAGTCTTGAGCGGGGTTCTCAATCTCCTTGGGAACGGTAGAACCACCGGCTAACAAGAAACGCCACTCGTCCTACAAGACAACAGAAACTACGTTAACACAAAGGTAGGAAGATGTGAAGACAGCAAGTTACGACTAAAAAACTGAGTAAAAATTGGAGAAAGACCAAGATATCAGTATGTACTAACCATGTTAATCTTGTTGTCGTTCATCAGAATTCTGACGCACACCAGGAACGAGAATAAGAGTTTGTGTTTTTCAAACAAGCTGCGGCATACATTCGAGTATAAACTGAACGTGAAGAAGTCATTAATGTTATCGATTCGCTTTTCCACGTTATCTGAAAACAAAACAAAAGAAAATTGGAGACCTTGGCTATAATTAAAGGAAGCTTCCTGACTGATAAGAGTAACAAACTAGCCACAAAATTAACCCTTCTAATTGAGAAAAACTCATTGACGCTGAATGTGTAAAGAAAGGTAACACCTTGTGGCAGTGATCAGGCATAACTTCGGTAAACATCGTGAGTATTTGATACACTTCGCCACTGTCAGGCATATATCGGGAGTGCTTGACCATCATTAAGCAACCAAACCGATGCAAAGTTGAATGGTCGATGGCAAGAGAAGATCAAGGTAAGAGAGCAAACTCTCTCGTATAGATCTTATAGCCAAGGTAATCCCATTTGAGTTATTTTTAGACATGGCACCAAGTTGCCCCGGTGATGAAGATTGATTAAAGGATATAACAACTAGAATTTTGATTACTTTCCCTTCCTGTCGACCGCATCTCAAGGAGCAAATAGTAAATCTAGGTACCTGACGCATCAGCGTTAGCTATGCTGTTGAGGAAGATGCCGATAAACCATTCCAGGGAGTACTGGTACATAGGATCTATATTGGCCTGAAAAAAAAAATAAAGAAATAAAATAAAGAAATTAGACAGTTTAATTTTTTCCAGTTACTGTAAAATCGTGGCATTCATGATCTCATCATCTTATAAGTGTTATTTTCCTTTTACGGCAAGAGTGGCGGCTACATCGGCAAGAGAGAAGGAAGGATAAATAAAAGGATTTTTTCCTATACACTTCGAGGAGAATAAAGTGATCCAGTTTAAAAACTAGAATTACACACAGAATAATTCACGTGGCCAGCGGAAATCCAGGCTTGTACATAGTTATAGTTACCCCTAACACGTGACGATCAGATGATCGCCATCTGATCAGAAAACAACTGCACAAACAGTACTTACCAGGTCATAAGTACAGAAGAAAAGAATCTGAGTCCTGACAGCCACAGGGATGTACAAGCTGCGTGTCTCATCAATATCTTTCTCGGTTTGTTCAGCGATTACCACTTTTGCCTGAAAAATAAACGCGCAAATTTCCTTTGTCACATACACTGTAAAACGTTTTCATGGTCAGAATAGCGCAATTTTCGAACCCCAGATTTCGCGTGGGTATTTTTTCTCCCCTTTTCTTTTTCGGGTCACGCTCGACGGACTAAGCGAAAGAGGGACTAATCGTAGTCTACTCGTTGAAAGTAAGAGTTAATGATAAGCATTAGGGTGCCTGATTTGGATCGCTAAAGAATCTTCATATTACTGAAATGTGAATGTTATAGTCATTGATATTTTTTACACAGGTTTCGATTCGGATTCAGCAAGTGCTCAATACCTGAAATATCTCAGCATGCGTGTCGTATTTTAGATGGAATTCAATCAACTCGCCACGTCTTTGTGAAGTTTATATGAAATAATTCATATATGAACTGCGGTTGTAGATGAAAGTGAAGAATGATCATCGCAGTAAATTTTCCAATTTAAGCAAT